TATCACTATCACTATCACTTAAAGAGGGGTTCATTCAAAAATAGTTATGTGGGTAAAGAAACCTGTGACCTTATGACCTTGTATTCACAGTATTTTGAAAAATCCTCATACATTTTGAAGGTATTCTTAGGGAGATTATTATTATAGCTGAGGCTAGTCTGCATACCATGCAACCACACAGCGACCCAAAGACTGGCTGTTGTTTCAAAGCTACTACTGTACATTATGTATTTCTGAATATGTCACTAAAGAGGGGCCGGGATATATAGGAGTAAGATGTATTGACTGTAAATCTATGGGAGAAGTCGTTTTTTTTCTGTCAACAGAAGAGAAAAAAACAGTTCTGCTTTCCTTCATTGGGTGTTGGCATCACTTTTCCTGTTCTTTATGTGTGGTTTCCTCCCGACCTTTTTAGCTGTTTCATTGATTTGACAAGTTGTCTTTATTTTGCCACTTTGGGGCTATTTTAAGGAGACGCAGTAAGACAAATAAACTGAAAGATGACAGATCAGGAAAGGGGCATTGGTATTGTTGGCTCAGAGTGATTGTGCTTACCCAGAATGTCACAGAGTGAAATCACCCAAAAATGTTTGTAACCAAACTTTGAGTTGTGATATTGTCATGGGGACTACTCACCCCTAAAACACCTGCTATATACAGCTCGGTGCTTTCCAAAATCCATCATTAAATGCTCTTTTCACTCAGCTATGCTTTCCACTAATTCTGAGCTTCAGCCTTATCTTGAATTACGTTTTCCCCATAATGTGCTTAGAGCTGAAAGAAAATGTTAAAGCTTGTCTTTTGCAGATTGAACTGTAACAACTTCAGAGGCTGGCATATTTCCACTTGGCAAGCTTCTCCTGAACAAGGCCTCCCAATATTAATGGAACATTTGCTGAGAAATGTTTCTTATAAGTTCAAGCATGAGGGTCAAAACTTTTTTCAGGCAGTGATCTGGAGGTAAAGCATGAAAACAGGAAAGCAGCAGTCCAGGTTTTAAATTGCAGCTGCAATGCCCCTTACTCTTGTTGTCTTTATATGCAGGATGATTTCAGAGGAGGAGATTAAACAGTTCCTCTGACGAGCTTCCAGGTTTTGTACAATGGAAAAACGTTTGGGGTCACAATCCATCTGAGGTTGTCTCATGTTGGTGAGATGATATTGCACTCACTCCTCTTATATTCTCTCATGAATATAACTTACAAGGTGTTATCCTGGTTCATCTTGCACATTTTCAGTTCATGATGTTTATCCCACTGGTTCTTGCAGAGGGCTCAACCACAGGATGCAGATCTTACATTTGCCACAGTGAGTTTCTCTGAGGAAATAATTTCCCAAGCTATAGCAGCTGGTATAAACATCAATGTGTATAATCAATGATCCACAAGGTGTTTTGGCTCCTATCACTCTATACTCCCTCCCTTAGGACACTTTTTATTATGACATATTTTACAAATCTCCTTCTTCCCTCCCTTTCTTCTTCTCACTTCATCACTATTCTGATCTCTTTTGTGCATGACTTAGACATCACATCAACACTGTAAGTGCATACTGCATCCTCCTCCTCTACACTCTTGTCACACTCTTCCTCTCATCACTAATTTACCTCTCTGTGACACCTCCCTTCCTCCTTTGCCCTCAGAATGTTTTACTGTTGCAAAGCAAATGCACTAAGCAGGCAGATCCACTAAATCAGGATGGCCTCAGTCAACTGAGATTGTTTAGGCTGGGAGGAAGAATGAATGGAAGTAAGAGCAAACTAGAATGAGTACTTTCCAAAAACCCATTCCATTGTGTTCCACTGCTAAAAAAATATAAATCCTATTGTATTATGAGCTATATCATCTGTATAGTTTTCTATGGTTATAGCAAATTCTTTTCTTAGTGAAGTGTAGGAAAAAATTAGGCTTAAACATCATTATTAGTCAAAATTCATAAGTGTGGAGAAAAATCATATCAGCTACAGCTGCTATTTGCTTTCACTGC